GAATTAAGTCACAGCTCTGTCCTGGCCCAGGGAAAGCCAGAAGAGACTACGCTAGTGCCTTTCATAGAATCATAGAAAATTAGGGTTAAAAGGGACCTCAGGAGGTCATCTAGTCCAACCCCCTGCTCAATGCAGGATCATCCTCAACTACATCATCTCGAGCAAAGCTCTGTCTAGCTGGGTCTTAAAAACCTCCAAGTATGGAGCTTCCACCACCTCTCTGGGTAACCTGTTCCAGTGCTTCCCTACCCTCCTAGTGAGAAAATTCTTCCTAACATCTAACCTAAACTTCCCTTGCTGCACCTTGAGACCATTGCTCCTTGTTCTGTCATCTGCCACCACTGAGAACAGTTTACCTCCATCCTCTTTGAAACCCCTCTTCAGGTAGCTGAAGGCCGCTATTAAACCCCCCTTCAGTCTTCTCTTCTCCAGACTAAACAAACCCAGGTCCCTCTGCTTCTCCTCAGAAGTCATGTTCCCCAGCCCCCTCACCATTTTTGCTGCCCTCCACTGGACTCTCTTCAATTTGTCCACATGTCTTTTGTAGTGGGGGGCCCAAAACTGAACACTGTACTCCACATGAGGCCTCACCAGTGCTGAATAAAGGGGAATAACTGCATCCCTTGACCCGCTGGCAACACACCAGTGCAGCCCAGTATGCTGTTAGCCTTTTTGGCAAAAAAGGCATGCTGCTGGCTCATATTCAGCTTACTGTCCACTGTCACTCCCAGGTCCTTTTCTATCGAACTGCTGCCTAACCAGTCAGTTCCCAGTCTGTACATGGGATTCTTCCCTCCTAAGTACAGGTCTTTGAACTTGTCCTTGTTCAACCTCATGAGATTTCTTTTGGCCCAATCCTCCAATTTGTCTAGGTCATTCTGAATCCTAGCCCTATCCTCCAGCATATCTACTACTCCCCCCAGCTTGGTGTCATCTGCAAACTTGTTGAGGGTGCACTCTATGCCATCTTCCAGGTCGTTGATGAAGACGTTAAACAAAACTGGCCCCAGGACCAATCCCTGGGGCACTCCACTTGATACCGGCTACCAACTAGACATTGAGCCACTGATTATTACCCTCCGAGCCCAAAAATCCAACCAGTTTTCTATCCACCTTACAGTCCATTTATCTAGCCCGTACCTCCTTTCTTGGTGCCTATTCTTGCTATTGGTAACCCCTGTACACACATCCTAAAAGCAATGGGACCACACTTGCATTACTGAGGGCAGTGGTTTGCCTGCAGAATAGTTTATTACTGGGGGTAATGGGCAAAGAGTCACCTCAACCTGACTCTCAGATTCTCCCTGGCTGGACTGCATGCACAGGCAGGCAGCTAGCAACAGAAACCCCTCATTTGAATTGTAAAGTGATCACAGTGGATTGGGAATCACTGAGACACAAACAGGTAAGCTCAGGTGGCTGACTGTAAAGCCACCTTTCAGAACAGACAGGCAGAAAACAAAACCTGATGGGAATAAGAGTTCCCCTGTTGATGTGCAACTCCCAAACTGCTGTGATGTGATTGGCAGAGACCTCAGAGTGGGGCCATGAAGTGAAACAGCAATGGAGGCTTCAACTGTCATTTAAATACTTATTCTAAGTAAAATTATGATCTATGTTGTGTTAAGGTAAACCTGGTGGTGTAACCAGTGGCTGTATTTGCTATTGAGGACAGAAGAGAGTTAAGTGTGTTCAGATTTTGTTGACACTTCACATCCCCTGCAGTGGCTTGTAATTACACAGCTTGATAGCACCAGTCCTGCCTGGGAGAGGTTCCCAGCTGGGGCTGCTCTACAAACCTGGCACAGTTTAAGAAGCTGCTACATGAATTCAAGTTTATAAAGCATATTAGAACGACACATCTAGAGAAAAAGGGATTTCTGCTCCCTCACTTTGCCCTCTCCTTGTTTCTCTGTCTCTTTTCAAAAGCAGGACAGGCCCTCAGGATTTGACATAATTTGGGCTTCACAAACCCAGATTCCACAACTGATGAAAAATAAACCCACAGCCGAGAATTTATGACACAAGGAGAGGGAAGTGAGAGCTCGGGGCAGGGTAGACATAGCTACGGGGTGACACTTATCATCCTTAGCAAGTCATGCCGTGACTGACAGAACGGATTGTGTTAGCAGAGGAACGAGGCTGCAGTTCTGTGGTAAGACCATGCACAAATATGCTGATGGGGCACTTCTAACAGCTCAGAAAGCAAGGTGAGGTCTAAGGAGTCATTTGTAAGATGCCCTGCGACTGAAACAGCGATTTTTGCAAGGACATTAAAAAAAAAAAAGGAAGACCCCCTCCCTTCCCTCGTAAGACATAAGAATTACTATTTCTATCGTCTTAGGTGTGCATTACCAGACAATCTGAGCCCTGGCTTTCTCTGGGCAAGTTGCTGCTTGCTTTATCAGGCAGACACCATCTTCAATTACACAGCAAGACACATGTAACTTCAATGTAAGAAAAATGGCTAGGTTTGTTAAGAAAAAGGCAATTCTGCTTCATTGGCACCAGGGAGGCACCAGGTAAAGGCATGCTTTCATCCTGCATTATAGCTATTCTGATAGCTGCAGTTGTGATTTTTATACATGGCATTACAGATTATTACTTGTGGAAGACAGCCTGACAGACAGTTAAGGGAAAAGAGTTTGTTGGCAATGACAGCTATGGTTGTGTGATCTTACCTCCAACAGCTAGCTAATCTGTAAATGTTCAACATGCTGTACATCACACATTCCCATTAGCAGCTTCTGATCACTAGTGTGGGTGGACTTACAGTATTTCAGTTTTCTTTTCTGTTTTTTATGTCAAAGGTAGGTATGGTTAAAGGTGATTCCCTGATGTTATATACTTGACTAGATTAGATTTAAGAGGAGTTTGATGTTTTCATGGCACCATATTTCTTTTCTGTTTAATAACATAACCACTTGCCAATGTCCCCAGTGGACTTTCTGACCTGAGATTTGACAGGGCAGAAAAAGCTAATGCTATTCAAGCTCGCAAATGCTCTTAAAAAGCCTAGTCTGATTTGCTCATCTTCTCTAAGTACTGATCTCTTCTCCAGTCCTCAGGGAGTGGGTTGTTAGTTCCACTGGAGAGGGCTGCCAGCAATGAGTGAAGTATGGATATTCAGAATGACTGAAGTATTTTTGTATATGGGTCAGGGCAAGGACTCAGCCTCTTCCAAGAAAGCAGGGCATTTCAGCTCATAACCCAAGTGTAAATATAACTGAATAGGACAAGGTAGTGAAAGAGGCTGCAGAATCTCTGTGACTTTCTGTAAAGTCAAGAAGCCCCATCTGGTTCAGCTTATACAGCTAGTGCAATTAGACTAATACAGCAGGGCTCCAACAGAGTGCAGGTACAGTTTGCTGAAGTCAACAGAGTTGCACCCACATTCACTATGGATGAAGTTTCAGGGAAGAAGAATCACCACCTCATGATTGGTAGAAGGTCACAGAACTTTTCATTTGATATTATGAGTTTGAATCCAGACTAGATGTGTAGTGGCCTAAAGTGACTGGCAGACCTAATGGCTGCTCACTCTGTGCAATGAGTAAGAACTCAGCTGGGTTTTATCTGGCCCCTCTCCTGGGCCCCACTACTAAAGACAAATGGGGGAAGCAACAAGGAGGCCAAAAGACAGTGGACATAGACAGAAAACCTCAAGCCAAGGCTTACGCAGTTTGGTGGGTCTTGTATGGCAGAAACTTACACTGACATAGCTCATCCTCCACCCATTCTGGGGACTTTCATTGGAGAGGCAAGGGCTTTTGGCACAGTTTTATTTGCAGCCTCCCAGTGGTACTGGTAATTGGCACAAGCTATACGGGAACCTTGCTAGGAATGGCTCTGCCCTAGAGAAGTCTAGCTCTTTTCACTAACAGAAATAGTATCCTGCTGGGCTGGAGACATGAATAGTATTTGTGGTGATCTGTCAGTTCCCACAGAGGCCACTTCCTCATTCTAAGCTAAAGTGGTCAGAGTCTGATCAAAGAGCATCATAACAAAGAAGTAGATCTGCAGTGGGAGCAGCTCCTTTGACTTCAATACGGTTATGATGATTTACAACAACAGAGGCCCTAGCCCTGAAAACCCAGTCTCGAACCCCTCATCACTACTGTTCAGGTGTCTTCCCCTACCCCTTGAGTGTCAGAAAGATGGCAGTGCAGATCTAATGGGGAAGACTAATGACAGGGTGCAGGGTGAACAGTAAAAGGACAGGGGTAATAAAATATCTATTTGAAATGAAAATCAAATTTGAGGAACATAGAGCCTGTCAGTTTCTGCAGGCAGAATGAAAGAACAGCTTAGAAGAAAGTTACATTGTATAAACTGTCCGCTAATCTGGTTATCTTTTCTTATAGCACAGAGAAGCACCCAGTGGAGATGCCATTCCTGATCTGATTTCCCTTTCCCACGCGTATGTTATTAACTCCCTACTTTAGATACAGCATCGCTACTTATTTTAATGCCTACATTAACTTCACTGGAGTGAACATTGCTTGGCATGCACAATCAATACACAATACTGTCATAAACCGCAATGCACTCTGACAGCTGTTCTCTATTTGTATGCATCTGTACTGAGCAGAAGGAAAGACTGAGGAGGCTGTAAGATATCACCATAGGATGGAAAAATGTATGGATCAATTTGGGATTTGGAAACAAAAGCAGGGTCAGGACCACCATAACCCTTTATTAGATAGGACATAGTCAAATGGCATTTGCTCCTTGATCTGGAGGGCTGCTAGAGCACACTCATAGTCATTTCAGGTGGCCATGAAAATTCTGCTGACCATCTGAACAGATTGTGGAAGATTTCAGCTAGATCAGGGCTGCTGCAGACTGTACCACTCTTCATCAGTACTGTAACCAGAGCTCTGGCATGCACCCACACTGGACTCTCAATAGCCTCCCAACATGTTGGGGGTTGGGATTTCCTGGGTGCCTGGCAAGGAGTGTAAAATACTGGACTATTGTTACATAAAGCCCAAACTTACCCTTCTTTCCCTCGGTTGTGGATAGCCAACTCCTCCCCAATCCCCTGCTCATCCTTGAAATTCTCCCAGTCCAGTCTGGATTTCTCCAGGGTGTTCATCTTCTGCTTTTTGGAGCCAATCTTCCCCAAGAGGCTGTTCATGCCACTTGGCCTTTTCACCCTGATGGAGACAAAGACAACAACACTGTTATCAACCAAAATCAAAGTGGAGATGAGAAATGTCATGTGTAAACCTGGTGGCCTCAGTTGAGAAGGGTTTCCTTCACACAGGCCAACTCTAACCAATATACCACATTTCCTTAGAGCCCAATATATCAGGTAGGTCCTATTCAGTCATAGCTACAGGCTAGAAATGTCATCACCTGCAGATCTGTGGGTTATATTTTTAAGAGTCTGGACTTCCATCTTTGCCCTGAAAGCTTATAATCAGATGCATTACTTTGAGGAGCTTAGGATACTACTACTAACCACTGCTTCTGAAGAAACACACAACTGTGAACTCAGCCCTGGAAGGTACAAAGCCCAAGATTTACCTTCACATATGAGATGAAATGAGAAATCACAATTTCTGATGAGAAGTGGGGGAGAAACAGATGGCAAGTGGGAAGCCCCTTGGAGCTTCCACAGCAGCACACTTACAGCTGGCATGAACCACGTCAGCCACAGGTACCAATCTGAAGAGGCTGCTCAGAAGTATAGACAATTAGAAGCATGGTAACATCACTACCACCACTGCCAAAGTGACTAATCTGCAGAGAGAAAATCCTGGCGCACAGTCCCAGACACCCCCCAGACCTCTAAAACCAGAAGCAGTTCATAGCACTACTGATTCTAATTAGCGTAACTGTTACAGTGTGGTGGTACAGACAGGCCAATTCACTAGAAGAAGGAGCAGCACAGTTGCATTCATGCATTGCTCTGCATAGGCTAATTAGCTCTGCCTCTCAGCCAAGCTAATCAGTCCAGTTGTTGCTATGTAGTAGTGAGGGGCAGAGCTAATGAGATCGCCTGGGTTCAGCACTGCATGAATCCAGCTGTACGGTTTCCCCTTCAGGAGGCACCCCATGACTTCTCAACCCAGAAGCAGCACAGCTGCATTCCCATGACACCCATGTGCAGCAGATGCAATAGTGCTAAGAACAGGGTTTTGTCTTTGTGGCCTGTACTGGGCCCCTTTTTTCTAGACGCCCATACTAACAGCAGCCATGAACTTGATGGCTAGTCAGTTTCAGGGATGTTAATGCAGCCCTGCCCCTGACTAGCTCAGGGTCCTGTGCAGTTTGTGGATGCTGGCCCTGACTGGGGTACTGCCTGCTGCTGATCCTGGACCATTTTTCCAAATTTGACACAGAAGTCCTATTCCAGGAAGTCTTCATGGACACAGCCCTGGGACAGTAGTGGAACATCTCAATGACTTAGTCACCATCCAAACACGGCATGCCAGACTATCCCATTAAAGCTCCAGACTAGTCTGGCCTCAGGATTAATTTCTGCCCTTATACTCATACTTTGACTTATCTCCATATTTCTCTTTCTGCCTACCAGGTTTCTGGCCCATGCCTTGCCTCTGACTGGTGTCTGGGATTTCAGAGGTATCAGATGAGGTTAGATTTGGATACGAGCTGAGCATGCATTCCCACATGTACCAAATCAGATTATGATATGAAATGCTTAATCAATCATAGGTAATGTCCTACACCTGTAGAGAGCTATCTCGTAGGGCTCCCAGGGACTAATCAAGACAGTAAGTGGGGCTGTAGGTTTCTCTTAGAAAATTCCACAAAACCTCCTGGTTGAATCAATCCTGGTGCATTCTTATGAATGAGACTCACTCATGATATTTTTGCAAGGTGACATGCGCTGTCCCCCTACATCTCATTCCTTCTGGCGCTCCTTTCCCCCAACATATTCCAAGAGAAGCAAGTCTTATGAAGAGCACAGAAATGCCCAGCACATTTGTCACAACGTTCTTTAAGCAGGAAAGAAAAAGAATATAACTGTGGTTCTTGGGAGAAATTATTAACTTCACTGACAAGCATCATCTCTGTTGTGTAGGTAGAGAAACTGAAGCACTGTAAGGGGAAGTGAGTTGTCCAATGTCACCACGTCAGTACAAATCACACCATCTGACTCCCATTCTCCTGCTCTGTACCTTTAGCCCTCATTATCTCCTTTGGTAGTTTCCAAGAGTTTCAGGATGGAAGAAACCATAGGTCATCTAAGTCTGACCTTTGTAGAGCACAGGCAATTATAATTTAATCTACTCACTTCTGTACTAAACTCTCAAACCTGGGTTACTTAAAACACATCTTCCAGAAAGGCATCCAATCTGGATCTGAAGATATCAAGAAGTGGAAATACCAGTACTTGGTGGTTGGTTCCAATGGCTATTTACTTGATAACATTTGAGCCTTATTTCTAATTTGAATTAACTTTTTTTCCAGTCTCCAGCCACTACTGTTTGTTTGATCTCTGCTAAAGGCCCCTTCTTACTTGGTATTTTCTTGCTAAGCAGGTATTTATACATCAGAATCAAGTGAATGCTTAATCTTCTTTTTGATCAACACATTGAGAACTTTAGTTGCTCACTGGGTACGTCTACGCGTCCAAAATGTACTGTAGTTACTGTGCATTTAAACTAGTACTTGCTTAATGACGTACTAACTAAATGCACAGTAACTACAGTTACTGCGCAGTAGCACCGGCACATGTTTTTTGTGACGTTGTCTAATAACACTGCACAGTAGCATATTAGCAGGGTTTTTGACTGGCACACTACTATGCAGTGTTATTAGGCCATCTGCGTAATAAATGTCTCATGTAGATGCACCTACTGTGATGTGTACTGTACTATCCACAATTCATTTTTGTGGCACTCTACTGCTCCATCTCTAATCTTCCATTATGCCCTTTAGAATGTGGATACCAGAATGGTACACAGTGTTCTAGCACTGGCCTCACCAATGGCACAGATGGTGGTAAAATTACTCCCCTCTCCTACTTACTACCCTTCTGGATTAGCAGAGTGCATCAGTTTTATTTGTCACATTGGCACCCTGGAAGCTCACCTTCGGCTGTTTGCCTAACATGATCCCTACACCTTTTTCGGCTACTGCTTTTCAGGATAGTCTCCCATTCCATAGGCTTAGCCTGCACTGCTTGTCCAAAATGTACAACTTTGCATTTGGATATCTTAAAGCACATTTTATTCAAAAGGACCAGAGTAATCCTGATCACTCTGCAGGGCAGCCCAGTTCTCATTCTATTTACTATGATGAAAGATCAGAACTGCTTATTATTACATCATAACTCTAACAGCTGGGAGCTGTCAGGCATGTAGCATGGGATGACACTGTAAAATGCACGAAGGAGCACTTCCACCTGTTTTCTGCCACAGGGAGCTGAAATTCTATCCACACAGAACACCCCCAAAACTCCAGTTTATGCTGGGAAAAGCATACATTGTGCAAATGAACCCGGTCAGCAGGGACAGGGTCTGAGGAAATCAATTCCTAAAACAAGGAAAGGCAATGCAAACTTACATGAACCACCAATGGGAGGAAAGGGAAACTCCCTCCCACTGAGCTCCTTGTTTGCATCCATTCCCAGGATAACTTCATATCTGCAAAGCCTTTGCCACTGCAGTAAGCCTGAGAGAAAATGATTTTCAGTCCAGAAGGACATAGAGATTTGGGCTTGGGGGTGTGGGAAAGAAGAAAGCCAAATGAATGCACCAAATTGATCTGGTTTCCACTGCATCACCCAAAACCAGGCAAGCGCTTTATGCACATTGTTGCTTCTTGGGAAAGCATCCAAACATGTCCTTGTCGGGTCATCAGCATAGTTTATGCTTCCGTAATTTGCAAGTCTCTAAAGAAAAATAACTGCAGTTTATACGGGACTAAATCAAGGAAGATGACATCTTTATAGGCTTCAGCTCTAAGATTCTCAATGCAAGTATGGCATGCCATGTAAACACACACAGCTTCTTGACTGGGTATCAGCTTCTTGACTGCCCCTCACTAGCATATGCTGGTAGCAGGAGCATTTCAGTTTGCCTGGGCACAGCTCAATCAAGGACCCTTACACATCTCATTTTCCTTCTTTCTTTGGTCCCAAGTCTCAATGAAAACTGAAGTCATCATGACATCACTAAGCAACCAAACCTGCACCTTCATGAAGGTTTTTTGTCGCCCTTCCTCTCTCTCTCTCTACCTAGGCTTCACATTACTGTGATTCCCTCTCACTGTGGACCACACAAAAGATTAACACTGGCTGCTGGAGCACAGTAGAACAGATGGTTCTGTAATGCATTAATCTTCAGGTGGCATATGGACCCTGCTTAGACTGGCTGATAGGTCAAGTCTGAGGCTAGCAGAAATCAAGTACCTGAACATGAAAGTTTCAGTCACTGGAAACATTCCTGAGCAGAGTTATGCTATTTTCCTCCTATGTCTGTAAGGTTTATTTGCACCTTTATGGACTTCTCTCAGATGAAGGAAAAACCTTGCCACTGCAAAGACTTGGACAAAGAAAACAGCTATGGACACTCTGCTTTCATAAGAGGATGCCCAACACTTAGGGGTGCATTGACAAAGATTTTCTTGACTGATACCAATAGCCGATTATACACCAGGCATATTGACCAATACCAATCTGATAATCAATTTACAGGAATACAGCCAGGCAGCATAGAGAGCAGCACCCTGCAGGTAGGTTTGTGGAGGGGAAGGGTCATGAGGTGGGGGACAAATTGAGGCCCACCTGGTAAGGGAGGGAGCAGGGCAGGGGCAGGGAAAATGGGTGAAGGATGAATGGGATCCTGGGGCTGGGTTTCAGTTCAAGCATGAGCTTTAGTTCAAGCATTGCCACCACCATTTTTAATCCCTGAGACACTTTTACCTAGAGCCGAGCCATGCAGGATGAGGGCAAAAGCTGGCTGGCCTGCTGTGGGCTTAGAGCTCTTCGCCCTACTGCTTTTGCCTCAGAAGCTGCGTGCTGGCTGTGCTTCATCCCCTGGTTGTCCAGTGGCAGTGGCAAGCTGTGCCTCCTGTTGCTGGACGGGCAGGGGACGCGTGGCCAGAGTGCGGCTCCCAGGGCAAAGGCAGCAGGGTGAAGAGCCCCAAGCTCATAGTGGGCAGCCCACCTTCATCCTCGCCC